TTCCTTGAAATTCTGATGTGCCCGTGGGAGTATGAATCCCTGCACTCCTGGTAAAAACTGTTGTAGTAAGGGGTAGCGTGTATGATAATCTTCATTGCTAGCACAAAGACCAGCAATTTTTGTGGTGTCTGGGAAGCAGCAGGGTGTAATAGGAAAATCACTGTTGTGGAGCCAGGAGACGTGAGGTCAGGTCTTGAATCAGCCGTGTGATCTGAGGTGCTCTGCAAACATCTTTAGTCACCCTTACTGACTCTGTTAATTGTGGACCAGCCTACACAGAAAGAGCCAAGGGCCAAGGCAGGATAGGACCAAAGTGTAGGATGTGGGCGATGGAGGCCCTTCAGCTCCACTGGCTTCAGCAGCCAGGACCAGGAAGCTAGAAGTTGCAGGTAAGCACAAAAGGCAGAGGGGCCAGGCTAAGGAGGCCCAAGGGCAGTATAAGATGGCTCATGACCCTGAACAGCATGTAGCGACTCAAAGTCAGATGGATCCTGTGTGTACTTCCTAGAAGATCAGTGCATCCACTGAGAAACCAGCATCTCGTTCACTCATTAGTTCATTCATCCACTTACTGAACAAGTGTCAATCGAGTACCCACTATAGATCAGGCACCATGCTAGCTGTTAGGGAGATAAGGATAAATGAAACAGGTATGATCCCTACCTTGATGGAGTTTCATGACCTAGTGGCAGAGACAGAAAATAAATAAGAAAAGAAGTAAATGTATAATTATGAATTAGGATAAGAGCTACAGGGGGATGGGGAAAACCTGTCCGAGGACGTGAAGTTTAAGCCAAGATATGAAGGACAAGAGCCGACCAAATGAAGAGGCATGGGAATGGTATCAGCAAAAGGCCATGGAGTGGGAAGAGCTGAGAGTCCTCCAGAAGCTGGTGATGCATCGGAGTGAGGAGGAAGAGACGTAGAAGGAAAGAAGGGAAAGGGAGGCTGGAGCCGACCATGTGCTAGAATGTTATTCCAAGAGTAGAGGAAAGCTCCATAAGGGTCGTAAGCAGAGGAAGGGCATGACATAATAATTTTTTGTTTTTCGGTACGCGGGCCTCTCACTGTTGTGGCCTCTCCCCCGTTGCGGAGCACAGGCTCCAGACGCGCAGGCTCAGCGGCCATGGCTCACAGGCCCAGCTGCTCCGCGGCATGTAGGATCTTCCCGGACCGGGGCACGAACCCATGTCCTCTGCATCGGCAGGTGGACTTTCAACCACTGCGCCACCAGGGAAGCCCCCATAATCAATAATTTTTAAAAGATATCTATAGCTGCTGCATGGATCATAGATGGGCGAGCCAAAAGAAACAGATGCATTCCATGTGGCAAGAGATGGCCTAACACTGAGCAGAGTGTTCAGTGTCCAAGTCAAGTCAGAATTTTCAGGGGTCAGAGCCTTCCTTCTTCAAGCAGATGAGACTGGGCAGCAGATAATGGGATAGGGAGGCCAAGGCAGGCCCTCGGCTCCATAACTACCTGGACACAGAGGTTCTGCCTGGGAACACACCTGGACACATGTAAAAAGAGCCTGCCAGGGCATTCCTGCCTCTTCTTGAGCAGCAGGAGGTCTGAGGCTGCCACAAGGCTTCCTACCTATGGCTGTGGGTAGCAAGGGCACCCAGGCAAGACAGGTGAGGCAGAGGGTAATAACTCCAGCACAGTGAGTAGCCCCATTTTCTCTCTGCCTTTCTTCTTTTTATAACCAATAATCTTCTCCTCCCAACACCCACATGCAATCATGTTCTTCCTCCTGCTTGTGGACTAGCTGGGATTCTTCTTTGTGTTCCTCATGTTTGTGGTAGATAAGTGTAAACAGGCAGGGCAAAGCCCTGGAGCAGAATTGCAAGATGGCAGGAGATATGCCAGCTTGAGCTTCCAGCAGCTCCCTCCCAATCAACCAAGTTAGTGAAAGCCTAAACAATTGAGCCTTTGCTTTTGAAAGCCTAAACAATTCAGTCCTTATCTCAAAGCAGCAACAGATAAAACCCGAGCATACCTTTTCTACTTGAGAATCTTCAAGGTCTCCCTACCGCACAGGATATATTCTAATCTGGCTCATAAGGCTTTGGGCGACCTGGCCCCCACCTAGCATCCAGCCTGATTTTCCACTTCTCTTCTGTATGTGTCCTATGCTCCAAAACGTGAGTTCTCTAGTGCTCCCACATATATCTCCTCTTTCCCACAACTGAGCCTTTACTTCTGCTGTTCTTCTCACATGCAGTGTCCTTCCTCCTCCACTCTCTCTCTCCGAATATCTAAATCAGGGGTCCCCAACGCCCGGGCCACGGACAGGTACCGGTCCGTGGCCTGTTAGGAACCAGGCCACACAGCAGGAGGTGAGTGGCGGGTGAGCGAGCGAAGCTTCTTCTGTATTTACAGCTGCTCCCCATCACTCGCATTACCACCTGAGCTCCGCCTCCTGTCAGATCAACGGCAGCATTAGATTCTCATAGCAGCGCGAACCCTGCTGTGAACTGTGCACGTGAGGGATCTAGGTTGCGCGCTCCATATGAGAATCTAATGCCTGATGATCTTCAGTGGAGCTGAGGTGGTGATGCTAGCGCTGGCAGCGGCTGCAAATACAGATTATCATTAGCAGAGAGGTTCGACTGCATAGAGACCATAGTAAATCAATTGCTTGCAGACTCATATCAAAACCCTATCGGTGAGTGGCAAGTGACAATTAAGCTGCATCTGGTGGCAAGTGAGTTGATGTACTTCAGTTGTACAGCTGCATCTGATGGCAGGCTTTAAGTCAGAATCTGACACTTATTTTAGCTCGGGTGTGGCCTGCCCATTATTTTCTTTACCACTTCCATCCACGCCTCTTTCCCACACTGCACACTTGTCTCAGTCACAGTTTTGGTAAGTCCACAAGCTAACCCTAGCCAAAATGAGTGAAAAACAAATGTCGCTGGGGAGCTTCTTTGAAAAGGGGGAAAGACCCAATGATGAGACAGCAGAAGACTCTAAGACCTCCAACAAAAAGAAAGCTGCATTTAAAAGAAAATACCAAGAGTCCTACTTAAATTACAGGTTCATTGCAACAGGTGATTCACATTCTCCAAGACCGCTTTGTATAATATGTGGCAACTGGCTATCCAACAAAGCCATGAAAACTTTAAAACTGCTTCACCACATGGTGACCAAGCACCCTGCATTAAAGGACAAGTCTTTGGAGTTTTTCAAAAGAAAAACATGTGAACATGAAGAACAAGCAATTATTGAAGACCACCACTTCATCAAATGTGTCTGCACTGAGAGCATCATTCTTGGTGGCTAACCGCATTGCTAAAGCTAAGAAGCCCTTTACTGTTGGTGAAGAGTTGATCCTGCCGTCTGCTAAGGACATTTGTCGTAAAAATTTAGGAGAGGCTGCAGTTCAAAAGGTGGCACGTGTTCCTCTTTCGGCTAGCACCATAACTAGACGATGAAATAGCAGAGGATAGTGAGGCACAATTGTTAGGATTAATGAGTCACCATGGTATGCAATCCAGGTTGACGAGTCTACCGATGTTGACAACAAGACAACAATGCTTGTTTTTGTGCAATATATTTTTCAGGAGGATGTTCATGAGGATATGTTATGTGCGCTTTTGTTGCCAGTCAACACCGCAGCTGCAAAACTATTCGAGTCTTTGAATGATTACATGTCAGGAAAACTGAATTGGTCATTTTGTGTCGGTACATGCACGGATGCAGCAGCTGCCATGGCAGGATGGCTTTCTGGTTTCACTACTCGGGTCAAAGAGGTCACTTCTGAATGTGGGTCTGTACACTGTGTCATCCATAGAGAAGTGCTGGCTAGCCAAAAAATGTCACCTGAACTTAACAATGTTTTGCGGGATGTGATTAAAAGTATCAGTCACATTAAAGTACATGCCCTTAACTCACATCTGTTCATGCAGCTCTGTGAGGAGATGGACACAGAGCACACACACACACACACACACACACGTCTTCTCTTATACACAGAAGCGAGATGGCTTCTAAAGGTAGATCTCTGCCTAGAATTTTTGAGTTACAAGAGCTGCTCCAGAGATTTCTTTTAGAAAAACAGTCACCACTGGCAGCACATTTCAGTGACACAGAATAGGTCACAAAACTTCCTTACTGGTGTGACATATTCAACCTGCTCGACGAACTCAATCTGTCACTTCAGGGGAGAACGACAACTGTGCTGAAGTCGGCAGATTAAGTGGCTGCATTCAAAGCCAAACTGGAATTGGGGGGTGGGGGGCGACAAGTGAACGTTGGGATTTTTGACATGTTTCAAACATTGGCAGAGATTTTGAAAGAGGCTGACCCAGGGCCTTCTTTCTCCCAGCTGGTGCATGATCACCTATCTCAGCTTTCAAAAGGGTTTAAGCATAATTTCCCAACCACAAAAGACCCCCAAAATGAGAAGGAAGGGATCTGAGACCCATTTGTGAATAAGCCAGGTGAATCAACTTTGTCCGTGCTAGAAGAGGATCAACTGCTTGAGATCGCAAATGATGGTGGCCTTAAAAGCATGTTTGAGACAACTTCAAATCTCCATACATTCTGTATTAAGGTCAAGGCGGAATATCTTGAGATTGCCACAAAAGCACTGAAAAGCCTGCTTCCATTTCCAACATCCTGTCTTTGTGAAGCAGAGTTTTCTGCAGTGACAGCAACCAAAACGAGATCATGGAGTAGACTACACATAAGCAACACACTTCGGGTGCCGCTGTCTCCCATCACCCCCAGATGGGACCATCTAGTTGCAGGAAAACAAGCTCAGGGCTCCCACTGGTTCTGCATTACGGTGAGTTGTATAATTATTTCGTTATATATTACAGTGTAATAATAACAGAAACAAAGTGCACACTAAATGTAATGCGCTTGAATCATCCTGAAACCGTCCCCCCCACCGACCTGCTCCGTGGAAAAATTGTCTTCCACGAAACCAGTCCCTGGTGCCAAAAAAGTTGGGGGACCGCTGGTCTAAATTACATCCGTTCTACATGCTCACCTCCTCTGGGTATTGTTCCCTGATCCACACAGCAGAATCGCCACCTTATTTTTCCCTTCTCAATTCAACCCTATTAAAAAAAATAAAGGTAGATTTATTTTTTTCCTTTAATTTATTTATTTAAAAAAATTTTTTAGTTTATTGAGGTAACATTGATTTATAACATTATATAAATTTCATGTGTAGGACATTATATTTCGACTTCTCACCACCAAAAGTTTAGTTTCCATCAATCACCTGTTGATTTAAAAAATATTCACAACCTGAAAGTTGAGAGTTATGTTTTATCCAGTGGGAATTTTTAGGACTCAAGCCCAGGAGGCAGCACCTCAAGTAACCCTGAGAGAACTACTTCAAGGAGGTGAGGGGGGGAGCCAGGTTATATAGAAGTTTTGCAACAAAGGGCAGGTAGTTGGGAACATCAAAAGATTATTGTTAATTAAAGAAAACCAGATACCCCAAGTTAAGGAGTTTAGCACTTTTCTGTGTATGGGAAGATGCAAGTGTCTCAGCTCACTGAACTCATTCCTTTGATATGCATCTCAGCTATCTAGGGACAGTATCCTATATTTTCATATTCTTAGTTTCCTCAAGGTTCACAGTAGGGAGTGGCTGCAATCTGATGGCTGCCTGGTAGCAGGTATTCTTTCCTTCCTGAGTTTCCTCAGGGCTCACCGGCTCACGTTGGAGGGCTGCAATCACTGATGAGTGTGACGTCCTTTGTTTAAATATTCCATTTATCAGTCCCTCCTTTTGGTCAGAAATTTGATCAATGTTTGGGAGACATTTCATGACCAAATTTTGTCCCGCAGCACTGGGAGGCTCATCCCAGATCAGGAGAAAATTCTTGTTGCTATGCCATTCCAGGTGTAATTTTTGGATTAGGCCCTGTTGGTAATTAAAGATTCTCTGGATCCTCTGTCTTACTAGTCTACTATGATCTAGGAAATATTTTTCCTTATCGTTTCTTCCCATACCTAGAATCACACTATTACAATTATTTTATAAGAGTCATAAATGTGATTTATTTTTTCAAGATGTTTAGCCATCATCAAATTTGTTGGAGGCCTGGTTACCCACTAAGTACTGTAAGAGACAACAATCTTATAAGATAGACAGGATATAAGTAATGCAGCTAGTACTATTGACAAAGTCATAGTGCAGCAGGGAGACACAAATCATCAACAATTCGGAAATAAGGAACAAATTAAAACAAGGATTAGTATAACTAGTTGTAGTAAACCATCAAGCCAAATTACGGGCAGGATCAGGTACAGAGAAAAAGATAAATGTTTTATCTTTGTTTACAAAGGTATACTTTATCAAGTTGTATGTCATAGCATAAGAGAAAAGTTTTTTCTGAAAAACAAAGATTAAAGCTAGTATACTTCCCAAAGTCATAAAAGTTATAATCATATTCGTCAGTTCATTCAGTCCCATGTAATTGATTCCTGTTGATCTGGATGAAGTAATCAGGTTTTCCGTCATTTGTTACACAGTAAAGGCCATCAGAAACTTATGTTTGTTAAAAAAAAGTTCTTTTTATGAGTCTTGAAAATCTTCATTTTGTAAAAGCATCAGGACAAAACTTAAAATAACGTGGTTAAAGGTTTGAGTACAAGGCAATTAGTAGGAAACGTGGATATTTCTGTGACATATAACATTTTAGAATAACCGGAATTATGACTGATAACGTTATATCAGGGCATATCAATGTTAGGAATTCCATATAAATTTTGGAATATCTATATTAATGACATTTATCCATACACTATAACCTAATTTTCATCTCCAGTCACTTGATATTGTTTCTGAAGTAATTAAACATACGAAATAAACTTAGTTTAACATTCCTCTCTAAGATGTCTGACATGTTCCTTCAAAGCATCCCAGAGTCAGCTAGAGGCTAAAAGAGCTTTAACTGGATTTTAATATTTGGGAAGTTTGTTAAAAATATCAAAACATTTTAAAATATAACAGGTCACTGTGAAACAATATTCATTTAACCAAAGTCACAAAAAGATTACTTAAGGGCACAGAAACTCACACAATCTGTTATCAAAAAGGAGCACTCTGAGAAACTTTGTTCAAATTCCAGTCTTGTACCGGCTTATTTAACAACAAAATCTATTTACTTAATTAACTTCAATCTAAATTTAGTTAATCCTGACCATGTATAAAACTTTTCCCCCCCTCAGGGTTTTCTTCCACAACCTTTCATCACTTCTGTCTTTATATCAGCCTGTCCCTTATTTTTTTATCCAAATAAACCAACCAGCCCTAAGACATATTTTTTTTCTTTTCCCTCAATAAAATGTAATTCCATTCCTCAAACCTTCTTTACTGAAAACGCACATTCTACTTTCCTACTGTACACTGAAATGTTTCCGTATTATTCCTGTTAGCTTTAATTACATGTTTAAATTGGAATCCTCAACTCTTAAAAACCTTAATTTCTAGTGAAAGTTAAGAAGTAAGCAATTATGAACTGTCTTTCACATTAGCATTCTGTAGATTGGTGGACATAAATACCAGTGATGATTTCTAAAAACATTTGTTTTCTTATAGAGGACATCTTAGGGTGGCACCAAACATTTTCATTAATAGTCCTAAATACCTTTAGTTTCTCTATTTAGTAATTGATGTCTCAGTATCTTATTTTTTTGGAAATTATCTAGCTATTTAACAAACTTCCATCACTTAAGTTAGCAGAACTCTAGAACTTTAAGGTATCAAGTATCTGTAAAGATCATTTTAACTAGACATTTCTAAAATATAATTAATTTTAAAGAGTTTACCCAAAAGTTCTTATCTCATTTACATTTACTTTAAAGTTTCAGCATATCAAGTTATTTCCTTGCAACAGGTATAATAAGGTCTTATTTGACTTCTATTAAACCTGGGTAATAAAGCATTATACTTAATGTTGATGACTAAGGATATGTCTATTAATTAGATCAACAAACAAACTTTAATACCAGATATCAACTTCATATTGAATATTTCCCAGTTCATGTGAACCTGAAAGTCATTTTGGCCGGTTTCTTTATTTGTAATCACTTTGTTTTAAAATTAAATAGAGCTCTTTATAAATTCAATTTTGATAATACTTTCCAGAGGTAGAGATATTTCATATATATAATGTGTACATAGACATAAACAGGCAAAACTAGAGAGCTCATGGCTTCACTTTAAAAAAAAAAAGTTATGAATCAGGTATTACAATATAAACTTACCAGTTTACAAAGAACAGTTGGAATACGTTAAAGTTGCTTGCTCAGATGACTAAGGCTTTACTATTTGTAAAGTTTGGCTGAGGGAGCATTCCCAGCGGTTTGAATTTTAAAACTGCCACTTTGCTATTTTTTTTCCTTGGTTTCAGGTCTTGCCAGACTGAGCTAATTAGGCTCAGTCTCAGTTCCTTGTGGCCTGTATTTGCATTTTCCGTTTGTAGAGATTTGCAAGAGAAAGACAAGTTGCTTTTAGTTTCCCAAAGAACAGGTTTGTAACCTAAACCATACTAAAAGGTTTTTTCAGTGACAAGATTTCTAACTAAACTGAAATTTATTTTACGAGTTCTGTGTTCGAGAACTTTAGTGTTTAATTTCTCATGCCTTTAATGGTTTGTATAAGGCATTCAGCAAAGACCTTCTTTCTGAGTTTACAACTTAAGCCAGAGCAAAATCACTGTTTTTCTTTTTATTAGTCCTTGAATGTTACTTCCCAATTTTACTTATTTTTATGGCTCAGGTAACACTATTGGTGTCTTTTAGTATGTTCAATTAATATTTCCTGAGGGGCGGATTTATATGCCTTGTCTTATAATACCATGTAGGGGAGGTATTTTCTAGTGAAGCATGCCTATCCCACAATATAATTAAACAAAACAGATGTATCCATCTTATATAAAGTCCATTTAAATATACCAATTTTATATATTTGCATCTCAATGCCGTCAACTTTATACTTTTACTTTTCATTAGGATCCAATCAACAAGCTTACAGGAGGAGTTCTAGAAGTTTTTCTTTTTTTTGTTCCCTATTTTATCTATTTTTATATAAAAGGCTCTGGGATCCCCAGAGTGGGGTTGAGCCAAGGAACTCAGACCCTTTGGCCTAGCTGTTGTCCCAAATCGTTGTTGGTCAAGTATCTCAGCGTTAAAAAAAAATTTTTTTTCTAGCCCCTTAAATATATTTTAAAACTGGGGTAAATAGAACAGACTTGTTTGGCTTTTAATGTTGGGGACCAGTAGGGGGGTCCCTTTTGACCCATTTAACCTTAGGTCATGTAGTAATGTCAGATACCTTGTGTTTTAATTACATAAATGTCCATTTTATTTATCCCATTTTAAATAACCATCTAAAGATTTCTTTATTTATTTGAGATAATTCCTTTAAAATTTCTACCTTGGTGGAAATAGTATCCAGACTCTCCTTACAGGATTTTTCCTGTTAACATTAATTATTCTAATGTTTTTATGAGCATCTGTAAGACGCACTGAGGGAAAGCAAAGATCAGGAATGAAGTTTCCCAAACCAGTTTTTCTTACTTGTTTTAAACTAAAGAAGTTCTTAGGTTAATCATTAGATGTATTTCTTTTTTCCACCTTTAATTTGATTTTTTTTGTTTTTATAGGTACCAGTAAAAGTTGTTTATAATAAGAGTGCACTAGATTCACCAATTTGTTAGTTTCTCCAGTTTTAAAAGGATCCGTCATTTGGCCATTAAAAACATATGTATTTATAGTGATTCAAATCATTAAGACGCAAGAGGCTTCCCCATAAGAGAGTGGGGGAGATTGTAACCAAAGTAAAATACGAGAGTTTACTCTCAGAAGCAGTATGGCAGAGGTCAAGTTTTCCAAACATATACATACACATATAGACATACATGGAATGTCCTAGGAAGATCAGGTAGAACATATACATCTCAAAGACACAGGAAGAGAAATGCAGGTTTCCCTTTACAAGGACTTTGTTTAAAGTCAGAATCCTGAAAAGGTATTTTTTTCAAGTCAGCTTTTTAACCTTAATTTAACTTAACTGCCTCTGCACTAAAAGGGCCTCTTCATTTTTAGGGCGAGATTTACTTTAATTTCCAATTAAGTAAATACTAATTGATATAGATCTGAAAACCCGGGCTCATAGGTCCAGACGGTTAACTCAAATTCCTTAGCAAATCCCAATGGATTTTTTTTTTTAATACTTATTTATTTATTTTGGCTGCACCAGGTCTTAGTTGCAGCACGTGGGCTCTTAGTTGCAGCATGTGGCCTTCTTATTTGCGGCATGCGGCCTTCTTAGTTGCGGCATGCGGCCTTCTTAGTTGCGGCATGCGGCTTTCTTAGTTGCGGCATGCATGCAGGATCTAGTTCCCCGACCAGGGATCGAACCTGGACCCCCTGCATTGGGAGCGCAGAGTCTTACCCACTGGACCACCAGGGAAGTCCCAGCAAATCCCAATGGATCTTGACTTGGATCGGGAAGTTCCTTAGCCAAGGTTCTAAGTTCTGTTTCGGTCCAGGGTGTGTACCTAAGCACCAAGGATGGCTCACCTCTCCCTGTAATAGTTTTCTCCTTAAAGAGAGCTATAATCACTTCTGATTTTTTATCTTCCGTTGCTGGGGAAGAGGGAGCAGCAGGAAGTGGAAGAGTTGGAAGAGAAAAAGAGATAGCGTCTGGGCCAGGGAATTCTGATAGGAAAGGATACATGGGAGGAGCAGAGGGAGAGACAGAGTCAAAGACAGAGTGCTAGCAGCCTTTTTTAGTCCTGATGGTTTCAAAAAGTTACTCTATCATTTTCTCTTTTAGAAGCTTCTAGGTACCAATCAATGTAAGCTTTCCATTCAGTCTGGTTGGTCTTATGGCCGGCTTTTTCTAACTGTGCACACAAATATAGCAATTTTAGAATATCTGAAGAACCTAAATTTGGCCATTTTAGGTTGAGATCTCCTTTAGTATAATTTCCCCAATTAACTAGGTACTTGTAAGTATGAGCTCTGTACAGTGTTGTACATGAATCTGGCTGGGGTGTTAGTCGGAGGTCGGTTTTCTGATGCCCCTCGTTTCTCTGTTTGAGAGATTCTGTTTCCCATTTTAAGTTGAATTTGTCAGGGATGAAATTTACTAGTGAAGTTGTGTCATGGGCCAGTGTGCTGCTTGTGAGCTTTACTCCTCTAGGCATCACCCTAGAGTCGTTTCAGCCCTCTTCTCCCTTCTGTGGTCTAAGACCACTGCAGGTGCTTGGATCACTGAATGGCCAATTCTTGTCCGCGACCCCTGGACGAGCAAGTGCTTTAATGAATGAGTAGATTTCCCTATGGGACCACTGCACTGGTATGAGGCCTCTGCCTCCACCACTCCCGTAAATTTCTCAGTTGCCCGAGAAAGCTGTAACCGGCCGGGGGCAGTCTTGTCCCTTTTCTTTAGAGCGAGGCTCTCATGTAATATCTTCACTTTTATCCCAACAAATTCTATTAAGGTAACCAAACTGAGGAAAAGCGTCAGATCAACCTCTTACCTAACTACTCAGCCAACCACTCAGTCTCCTACAACTGAGCAAACCCTGGTTTCTTTCAACCGGGCACTCCCCCCACTCTACCCTCCCCCCACCCAGTATCTTTCAACTGGGTGGGTATTTCCCTGGTATCTTTCAACCAAAGCCTGGGCGGGGACAGATACCCGCTATACACCACCAAATACAACTCAGGATCATCAACCAACATGGGAGATCCGAGAACCAGGAGAGACTTACCCAAATTCGTCTGAACTCTCCAAGGAGGTGGACGGGCACAAGGGGCCTCTGCTGGTACCAAGCCTCCGGTTCCTCATAGAGTTCAGGCAAAGGAGAGAAGTCCACTCTGGGTCCCTTGCTCATGGTCACCATAACTGTTGACTTAAAAAAAACGCACAACGTGAGAGTTGTGAGTTAAGTTTTATTTGGGGCAAAATGAGCACTGCATCTGAGGAGACAGAGTTTCAGATAGCTCTGAGAAACTGCTCTGAACAGGCAGGTTATATAGAAGGTTTGTAACCTGCCATCTAGCAGCCATCAGACTGGGGCCACTCCCTACGGTGAGCTCTGAGGAAACTCAGGACTTGAAAATACAGGATACTAGCCCCAGATAGCTGAGGTACATATCCAAGGAATGAGTTCAGGGAGCCCAGACTCTTGCACCTTCCCATACATAGAAAGGCACTAAATTCCTTAACTTGAGATATCTGGTCTTCTTTAATTAACAGTAATCTTCTGATGTTCCCGACTACCTGCCCTTGGTTGCAAAAACTTCTGTATAACCTGGCTCCCCCCCTCACCTCCTCAGAGCAGTTCTCTCAGGGTAACTTGAGATGCTGCCTCCTGGGCTTGAGTCCAAAAAATTCCCTCTGAGTAAAACCTAACTCTCAACTTTTAGGTTGTGAATAATTTTTTAAGTCAACACCTAATAGAATATTTCTCTCTCTTTTTTTTTTTTTTTAAGGTAAGGTACTAGTTTTATCTATCTATCTAATTATTTATTTTTGGCTGTGTTGGGTCTTAGTTGCTACGCGCAGGCTTTCTCTAGTTGCAGTGAGCAGGGGTTACTCTTCGTTGCTGTGCGCGGGCTTCTCATTGCAGTGGATTCTCTTGTTGCGGAGCACAGGCTTTAAGGCGCGTGGGCTTCAGTAGTTGTGGCACGCGGGCTCAGTAGTTGTGGCGCACAGGCTTAGTTGCTCCGCGGCATGTGGGATCTTCCCGGACCAGAGCTCAAACCCGTGTCCCCTGCATTGGCAGGCGGATTCTTAACCACCGCACCAACAGAGAAGTCCCTCACTATTTTTTAATGCCCAAACTTCATAGCATAAATATATCTCTCCCACTATAATTTTTCTGTACAATATTTATTTAGGAAACATTTACATTTATGTCCCCAGACTCAATACAACAGGTTTAACAAAACAATCTGTGAGAAATATCTTGAGATATTTCTTACACTGTCTTACATCCCAGACACAGCCAAATGTTAGAATCCCACACAGACAGCCTAGAACACAGAACAAATGTCCACAAAGAGGATATGGAAGATGTTACTGTAAACAAAGCAACTTTTTGTAACAAGCACATTAATTTGTGTTCAGAATCACATTGTAAGCATTTATAGCCTAACATCGGTTAATTACGTATATAGTGACACTCTACTGAGTTTTAGTTATGTTTCAAAAATTGGCTGAGTGTTTGGGTTGATGTGTCATGTGACATAATCTTTCCAATTCAAAATAATAGGAACTTGATTATCAGGCATGTTTGCACAGGTCAAAATTTTAGGAGCAGGTTACTGATATTAAGAAGGGTTTCTTTTCCCCACAACAACTAGGTA